CTCTCCCTCTGCCCCTCTCCCCACATTTCTATAAAGGACAGTCCCGCCGAAGTTGCCTGAGCATGCGTGATCCCGCCCCCGGCCCGATCTCACCAATGAGGGTTAAGCCCCGCCCCTGGGCCCGCCCCCTCTGCGGCTCAAGACTAACGGATCTAACGGTTCTAACGGTTTTAAAGGTTTTAACGGTCCTAACGGTTTGTTGTTTTTTTTTACCAGCAGGTGCATTGGCCAAGCCCACGTGTACCTCTCAAGATGTACCCGCGCACCTCCACAGTCACACCCCTGCTGCCACCCACACCCCACGCAGCATCCCCTCACCAGTGCAGACCCGCTCAGGAGTTACCTGACCCACCCTGCCGTATGTGGAGTGGACTGAGTGCCCAGGGGCTAGGGCCCGGCTGGGGCCCAAGAGGTCCTAACAAGAACTGGGTAGGGAGAGCCGCTGGAAGGAGAGGCGCTGTGGTCAAAAGGGGACACAGAACTGGCAGCCTGGTGGGGAGAAGAAGGCAAAAAATAGTCCAGGGAACCTGGCCTGCTAGATACTGAGACAAAATGAGGGCAGGGTGGGCAGGGGCAGAGGGTTGTAGGGAGGAGGGGTCTGTGTAACTCTGCCTCTGATAGTTATAGATGGCTTTTAAAGCCATGAAACAAATCACCAATGAAAGAATACGGATAGAAAAACAGATTGTATTGAGCCCCAGGACATACAACTTTAGAGGCCTAGATAAGGAAAAAGCAGCAAAGGACCCCAAGCAGGTGTGGTCAGGGACAGAGGAGGGACACCCAAGAGAGTGAGGTGCTGTGGAAGCCTCCTGGACCACCCTTTAAAGAAGAGGAGGAGGGGCGCCTGGGTGGCTCAGTTGGTTAGGCGGCTGCCTTCGGCTCAGGTCATGATCCCGGGGTCCTGGGATCGAGCCCCGCATCGGGCTCCCTGCTCGGCGGGGAGCCTGCTTCTCCCTCTCCCTCTGCCTGCCTCTCTGCCTACTTGTTCTCTCTCTCTATCTCTCTGTCAAATAAATAAATAAAATCTTTAAAAAAAAAAAAAAAAAAGAAGAGGAGGAGACAGCTATGTTGTTACTGGTGGGAGAATGGAGGTGTGAATAGAGGTCTCAGTTCTTGGATTCCCCACAATAGACTTACATGAGCCTCCCCACTTGAATAAAGGCAGCCAGAAAGAAAGTAGCAAGCACAAAGCAGTTTATCAAGTTTAAGATGGGAGAGTGGGTAGGCCCAGAGATGGGAACTGTACCGGGGTTAGGGGTGTCTTTTTATGTTTGCAAAGTTTATGGGTCACGGTAAGGAGGTGTCCGACTGAGGTTGTTTCCAATCATCTAAGGGACCCCTCCTCCTGGTTAGGAGAGAGAGTTTTGGGCCCTACAAGGTTCTTGCTGCAGCTGTCATGACCATCTTGTCCCATGGGGGCTCAAAACCACAATGCAAATATAATGAACCTAGGGGGTCACCCTGGGGCAGAGGTTGAAGAGGAGAGCGCATGTTCTGCATCTGAGGCTGTTGCTCTGTCAGCCCCTGGGTTTTGAAAGCAGTAAGACCAGGAGGTTAAAAGCCACAAAGTTAGGAGGTTGTGCCCTCAGGCTTCTAATGTGTCACCTATTTATCACAACCTTTGCCTCCAGCTCAAGTCTAACTAACTGCCTGCTTTATCAATGTCAAATGCTGCTGATCGGTCAGGAAGAAGAAGAGTGAGAATTATTGGTGATCCTGACTGTGGTGTACTGGGGACAAAAACCTGATTAGTGTGTGGATTCAAGACATTTGATAAAGAAACAAAATATATAAAGAACCCTTAGAGCTCAACAATAAGAATACTACCTGATTTAAAAATGGGCCAGGAGCGCCTGGGTGGCTCAGTTGGCTAAGTGACCTACTCTTGATTTTGGCTTGGGTCATGTTCTCAGGGTTGTAAGATCAAGCCCTGTGTCGAGCTCTGCAGTGGACATGGAACCTGTCTAAGATTCTCTCTCCCTCTGCCCCTCTCCCCACATTTCTATAAATAAATAAATAAGCCAACACAGAGTTTAACACATTGCACCAAAAAATATCTTCAGATAGCAAATAAGCATATGAAAAGATGCTCAACATTGTAAGTTATTAGGGAAATGAAAATTCAAACAACACAACAATGAGCTACCACTACACATCTATCAGAATGGCCAAAATCCAGAACACTGATAACACATATGCAGGTGAAGATGTGGAGCAATAGGAACTCTCATTCATCGCTAATGGGAATGCTAAATGGTACAGCCACCTTGGAAGATGGTTTGGCAGTTTCTTAGAAAACTAAACATACTCTTTTTTTTTTTTAAGATTTTATTAATTTATTTGTCAGAGAGAGAGAGAGAGAGAAAGCACAACCAGGGGGAGCAGGAGACAAAGGAAGAAGCAGGCCCCCTGCTGAGTAATGCGGGACTCGATCCCAGGACCCTGGGATCATGACCTGAGCCGAAGGCAGACGCTTAACCGACTTGAGCCAACCAGGTCCCCTGCTAAACGTACTCTTATTAAACGATCCAGCAGTCATGCTCTTTGGTATTTACCCAAAGGACTTGAAAACTTATGTCCACGCAAAAACCTGCACATGGATATTTATAGCAGCTTTATTTCATAATTGCAAAATCTTAAAAGCAACCAAGAAGTCATTTTCAGTAAGTGAATGAATAAATAAGCTGTGGTAATCCAGACAATGGAATCTTAAGCACTAAAAAGAACTGAGCTATCAAGCTAGGAAAAGACATAGAGGAAACTTCAATATATTTTACTAAGTGAAAGGAGCCAATCTGCAAAGGCTATATACTGTAGGATTCCAATATGACCTTGTGGAAAAGGCAAAATTATGGAGATAGTAAAAAGATCAGTGGTTGCCATGGATTGGGGGAGGTAGGGATGTATAGGTGGAGCACAGAGGATTTTTAAGGCAGTCAAACTATTCTGTATGATAGTTTAATGGTGCATACATGTAACTGCAGTATACATTTGTCCAAACCCATAGAATATACAACTGCAAGAGTGAACTCTAAAGTAAACTATGGACTTTGGGGGATAATGATCTGTCACTTTAGGTTCAGCAATTATAAAAAATGTGCTATTCTGTTGGGGGATATTGGTAATAGGAGAGGTTATACACATGTGGGGCAGGAGGTATATGAGAAATCTCTGTACCTTCCACTCAAGTTTGCTGTGAACCTAAAGTTGCTCTAAAAATTCTATTAAAAATATATACGTATACATATATGTATATCTATGCAGAGTTTTGCACATCCATACAATGAAAAACTACTAAGCCATAAAAAGGAATGAGTGATTGATAGGCACCATGACATGGATAAAACACAAGATAATTATGCTGCATGGAAGAAGTCAGACACAAAGAATACATATTGAATGATTCTATTTATATAAAATTCTAGAAAATGCAAAGTAATCTATGGCAACAGTCAACCAGCGATTGCTTGAGACCAGTGAGTGCCATAGAGGAGGATTACCAATGGGCAGAAGGAAATTTGGGGTTGATGGATACGTTTACTACCTTGATTGTGGCTATGTTTCATACATGTATACATAGGTCAAAATGTGTCAAATTGTACACGTAATATGTGCAGTTTATTGTGTTAGTTACACCTAAATAAAGCTTTGAAAAATAAAAACATTACAGATAGGGCGCCTGGGTGGCTCAGTTGGTTAAGCGACTGCCTTCGGCTCAGGTCATGATCCTGGAGTCCCGGGATCGAGTCCCACATCGGGCTCCCTGCTGGGCAGGGGGTCTGCTTCTCCCTCTGCCCTCTTCCCTCTCGTGCTCTCTCTCATTCTCTCCCTCTCAAATAAATAAATAAAATCTTTAAAACAAACAAACAAACAAAAAACCAAAAAACATTACAGATAGAGTTGAAGCTCCACTCTGCCTTCCCTGATACATTCCCCAGGTGACTTCTATCCTGAATTTGATGCTTATCATTTCTGTGTATGTTTTATACTTTTAGTTCATATGTTTGCATCCATAAATAATATATAGCATTGTTTTACATGATTATATCGTTTTATAAATGGTATACTTTGTGCATTTTTCTACAATTTGACTTTTCGACTCACCATTTTTAAGATATATATTTGTAGATTAAAGTATCTTTCTTATTGCCCTATTGGTAAAACATTCAGCTGCTTACAGTTTTTCCCCTATGCAGATGCTGCAATGAAACTTTTTGTACCTGTGAATACATGTGAGAGTGGGTCTTCAGGGTTAACTATAGTAGGGTGGGTTTTCTGGCTAGTAGGGTTATATCAGTGACACCAGCAGGGTCTGAATGTTTTCTGCTGTTAAACTTAAAAAACTCTATTTTTAGAGGCTGACTGCCAGCTCCTTTTGGTTAGTGAAAGGGGTGAACTGTTCATGTCCCTGTGTTACAAATGAGAGAGAAAGACAATAATCTGCAGAAGGGTAGCTTGGAATGGAACCACAATGTCAAATATTTTCACGCTCCTTCTCTTGCTCCTCTGTTATGCTCTCTTTCTTTACTGGGTCCCTGGTAATAGTCACCTGCCCAGTGTTCTCAGGTGCCACAGACTCCTAAAAGAAAAGTTGGCAGAACCTTATTCTGAAGCAGCAATTTTATCCGAAGAACCATCAGCCTTTTAACATTTCTTTTGACTCTGTGGAATGTTTTCTAAATTTATGTTCCTGGCAATATGGTTACACAATATTAAAATGCAGGATTCACCTTTAAAATGTTCTTTGATATTTCATTGACTATGAGTTCATCACACTCTATTGTGGAGTATATGTTTCTATATGCATGAACTCTATCTAGGCTGTTTCTATATGTAAGGACTCTTTCTAGGCTGTTAATGCTGAGGGGCAGATTTCTCTCATAAAGAAGTGAAAACAAGCAGGAAGCACAAAGGGGTAGCTGGCTGGGCACTGTCTCAACAATCTCAGCAGCATTGTGCAGTCACAACCTCCCTTTGTCACTAAGCAACAAGAAGCTGAGATTCTCTTTCCTCAGACATAGCCTCAAAAAGACAAAAGGAAAGTTTACCTTTTCTACTTCCTTCCTGGAAAGATGCAAAGTGCTTTAGTAGGCTCCTGGGTAAGAGTGCACTTTACAATTAATCTTGGCTCCTGGCCCTGGGGTAGTACCTGAAACTTCAATGAATCATGAGAGTAAATTTAGCAAGAAGGATTTCATCCAGCATCCAGGCTGGTGGAGGACCCTGAACTTCCCTGCCATTCTAAGGTTACCCCTGGAACCTACCTAGTCTTTCTGATGCCATGTCCTTTCCCATATGTCCTGGTCTCATGCTAACCAGCTGAACCTCCTAATCTTCTAGCCACCCCATTTATTCCCAGTTCTTTGCTTGGTCCCCCCAGACTTCTGGAGTTTGACTGCTCTCTATACTGGGAACATCTTGAGGGCAAAGACTGTTTTCCACTGTATATCCCATGCCCAGTCCAATGCCTGGGATGCAGTAAAGGCGGCCCAGTAAATAATATTGAACTAAACTGAATAGAGAGCAAGTTCAACAGATAATAGAAAGATGGACAGACAAGTTGGGCAACCCAAACCCTCAGTGGGATGAAAAGATAAAGGGCTTTTCAGTCCTGTACAGGAACTTGCTGTGATGGCCAGAGGCCAAACTTGGGTCAGCTTGTTTCTGCTCAAGGCTATGATCATGGAGGACCAGACACACCCATCCTTTCCAGGGAGTTCTCAGGACAAAGAGTTGGGCTCTAGGAGTTCCCTGGCTAGACATGGTTGTTGTCCACAGGGCATCCACGTAATGATATCAACACAGAATAGCTCCTTCTTAGACCTCTGATAAATGCTCATTTATGTCTTTTGCCAGTCCTTGTCTCTGAAATTCTCTCCAGAAGCTATCACTGTTGGTAAAGTACTTCTTTTGAAAAGCTTATCCCTTCCTTAGGTGCTCCAGTTTCAGAGGGTGCCCTTCTTGCCCCAGAATAGCAGGGTTTGTGGCAAATAGGTGCTCGTGACTTTGTCAATAGATGCCAAGATGGATCCATTCAAGCCCCAGGGAAGGATCATATCACCAGTCAGTGGCCCTGTTCTCAAAACTCTGCTCAGTGCTCTGAACTACCCCAACTCAAAAACTGTCTGGTCCCTTCCCCTGCTGGAAAGTCTCCCTTTGCTCTTTGAAGATAATCCATATTCTTTTTTTTTTTTTTTAAAGATTTTATTTATTTATTTGACAGAAAGGGAGTACAAGCCGGGGAAGTGGATGGCAGAGGGAGAGGGAGAAGCAGGCTTCCCATTGAGCAGGGAGTCTGATGTGGAGCTTGATCCCAGGACCCTGGGATCATGACCTGAGCCTAAGGCAGACGCTTAACCGACTGAGCCACCCAGGTGCCCCGAGAATCCATATTCTTAAACTAGTGTGAGTCCTGCCCTTCCCTGACCTTACCTGACTAGTTTGCTCAAAATCCTTTAGTCATGAGGATTTTTGTTCTATTTCATCCTTCCAGCACATTTCTCTCTTTCTGGCCTTGGAACCTTTGCTCTTTCAGTTCCCATCACATAGAATGCTCTTCTCCTGTTCCTCACACGGCTGACTCCTCATGTTCAGGTCCCACCTTCATTGTCAGGAGGGGCTATCCCCGTTCCCTGTCACTCTGGATCTAGTCATCAGGTTATTTCTTCCCTGACCCTATTTGCTGTGTCTGACTCCCTCACCAGAAGGAAGGTTTGCAAGGACCAGGATATTTCTGTCCTTTCACCGTTGCCTCCCTGGCTTATACTAGGATCTTATGAAAGAACGAAGGGAAGGATGGAAGAAAGGAAAAGAGGGAAAGGAAAAAAAAGGTGCCCTTTCCCTACACACACATAGCCCTCCCAGGTGGGCCAGCACAGCTGAGGCCAACTGTTCTTTTTTTTTTTTTAAGATTTTATTTGTCAGAGAGAGAGCACACAAGCAGGGGGAGCAGCAGGCAGAGGGAGAAGCAGGCTCCCTGCTGAGTAAGGAGCCTGACACAGGACTCGATCCCAGGACCCTGGGATCATGACCCGAGTCGAAGGCAGATGCTTAACTGACTGAGCCACCCAGGCGTCCCGAGGCTGACTGTTCTAATGATGGATGGCAGATGGGTGTCCCTCTCCTCAGATTCTTTTTATTCTGTCAGTAGCTCCCAGGAGAGGCTTCTGGTCTGGGGACCCTGAGGTCTGAGACTCAGGATAAGTGTTTGGGAGAGATTCACCCTCATGCCTGCCTTATTATAGCACAACGCTGGCTTCTATGGGCACTACAGAGGCCAATTCAAGAGTGAAAATGCTCAAGAATACCGCCTTGCAGCCAAGCCCCAGCCTCCAGCAGTATTCCTGCAGCGATGTCAGGTACAAGGCAGCTCTGGGGGCAGCTGGGGTGGCTGGGCCAGTTTCTGTTTCTCTCAGACCCCAAAAGCATCATCCCCAGACCTATCACTGCTGGACTGAGACCTGAGGCCAGCTTATCCCCAGAACATTCATGAGGCCTGGCCACTCTTCCCTGAAATAGCATATTTCCTTATCTCCACCTATAGAAAGGGTGGAGAAGAGCTAGTACCAAGCTGGACAGTCTTGCTCAATGTTCCTTCTCGGTGGAGGGAGGGTCAGGGCCCAGTTTGAGTAGGTGGTCATGGGGAGAGACCCTCCAGAACCCAGAAAGTAAGCCTTGAGTTTTGCCAACAACTGCTCTCAAGCTCAAATTCCTTGATGTCATGAAAGCCCATGGTCTAATCCACAGTCAGCCTTGTAGTTCAGGGGCCCAGGAGGCCTCCTCTGGTGAGGGAAGCAGCATATAAAGTGGCTGGGTACCCACTCACATGCGTAGCCAAGGAGGACTGGAAGGGAGTGATGGCAGAAGTGGCTGGAAAAGGCTTTCAGAGAACAGGAGAGAGAGAGATGCAAGGCCCAGACCCTCTACTGCTTCTAGGCCTGGAAACAAGGAGGGGGCACTGATCATCAGCTGGGGTCCCAACAGTAAAAAGTTCACTCAAAGTAGGAGAACTCAACAGAGTGTACATGCAAAGGAGTAGATGTGAAGGCCTCAGGTAAAGGTGGTATCACAGGTTGGTAATAACCAAGTGGTCAGTACCATTGGGCCCAAAGGGACAGGGGAAAGTATGGCTCATAGAACCCAGAAGGGGAGGGTGGTGTGGAGAGAACTACCCTGAGAGGAGTGGTGATCTTGGGTGCAGAGACAGACAGGTGGGGGCTAGTCTGGGAGGGAGTTAAGAGAAGAGACCTCTCCTTCCTTCCCTCCATCTCTTCCCAGGGCTTTTCAGTGGCCAGAAGGAAAGCAGGCTGGTGAGAAATGCACTCAGATCAGCCCCCTGGGCAACAGCAGGGTGGAGAACATGGAAAGGGACCTGGAGGAGTGTCTGGAACATGCTCTGCCCACTGCAGCTTCTTGCTTCCAAGCCTCTAGCCAGATCCTACCTGACCTGCCATCTGAATTCTCCATGACTTGCTTTCCCAGGCCAAGAACAGGGTCTTGGAGGCTGCCATGCTATGGAGCCTGAATTTCCTTAGCATTCTCAGTTGGAAGGGCTGCCTGGCACTGCCTACTAAAAGAGCCAGGCCCAAATGCAGCTCCAGACTGCTTATCTGGAGCCACCTCCCCCTTGAGAATAATGGGACCTGGGTAGTGCAGGGACAGAGGCAAACTGGGGACTTTCTGCTGGGTGTTTGTAGGAGCCCAGGGGCAGCTGTCATCCTAAAGACTGGAACATCCTCTCAATCTGTCCCCCAGAAACAGAAGTAGGGAACATGTTTTGGGACATGTTTTAACTGAAGACTTGCTACACAAAGCATTTACTAGCAATACCAGCATCCCCAAACAGCATGATCTATGTGTCTTGGGCTCAGATTGTATAAATGCCAAGTCTGGTGGCTCATTCTATGTCTATATCTCTTTTAATTAGTGGGACTGTTTGGGGAAGGTGCACATTTTATTTTCCTATTAGCTAAGAGATACCAGGTTTCAACCAACTGCTTGCTGCTATTATTGTTGAAAAACTTTTCAAGATGTGACACCACTTTTCTTTAGTTTGGGGCAGGTAGAATTTTGTCTGTGTCATTCAGATGCAAGAAAATTCTCTTTTCTTCTTTTTCTTTTTCTCTTCTAGACCAGATTAACTTATTTCTAGCCATCACCTGCTTGACTCCTGGGACATGTAATACTGGTCCTGTTTGTTCTTAAGGTTAGACAAGAGTCCCAGGGACTCATGGTTTGGAGTAAGTCCTTCACTGGTGGTGCCATGATTGTTGTATTCCTCCTTGTCCCACCCCTGCCATGCCTCAGTCTGTCACAGGGGCTCCTTACTCAGCATCCTACTGACTGCAGAATGCCCAGCCTCCACCAGGGCCCTTAGCCCTCCCACATGCAACTACTGCCCCCTCCCAGGAAATCTACCTTTCCTCCAAGGTTTCTTCAGCTGGAACCCCAGCCCAAGCCCACCTGCTCAGAGATCATGGGTTTTACTACCTCAATGGAAAAGGATCCCTAGAAACAAAGATGCAGGTGAAATCCTCTCCAGGGATAAGAATACTCAGAACTGCCTGGGTGGAAGGAAATGACTGCACTTCTTACCAGGGTCCCACTATTGTGAGAACAAAACTTGAGTCAATGGAAGTCAATAGATTATCCTGCCACCGTTAGAATAGTGAGTTTCACTCACTATTTCACATGGTGTCTAGAGGCATTCAGAATGATCCGGAATCTGACATACCATCATAGGCTGTCCTGCAATACAGTTTCTAACAAAACTAGGCTGTCCTGAACCCTTGGTAATAGAATTGTGTACCTTCATACCAACAAAGTTGGGAAAGCACCACAGTCCACAAAGGGCATGTGACCAGGCTGACTTCAAGAAGTTTGTGTTGTAAGACCTAAAGTTCTTATGAGGTTGTCTAGAACAAACAAACAAACAACACGTCAGCAGGGCCTGTAGTGGTTCCCTATATACTAAGTGTGTCTATGACCGGATCAAGTGTGCTTTCCTTACTGAGGAGCAGAAAAACACTGTGAAAGTGTTGAAGGCACAAGCATAGAGTCAGAAAGCTAAATTTTTCTTAATGAAGCTTTTTGGAGTAATAAAAAAATCAAAAGGCAAAAATACATACATAGTGAGTTTTCAGAGTCAGAGCTGCCTCCAACAACAGAGGCATCCACATTCTAGGGCTGTGTACAATTCTTTAGCCAAGGATAGAGATGAAGAAGAAATTTGGGGGTCAATTGGAACTTGCTGCATACTCCCAGGGTTTTTTTAATTGAAATTCTTATTGAAATAACTGTAAATTCATAACCTGTTGTGAGAAATAACAGAGATCCCTTCTATACTTTTCCCAGTTTTCCCCAATGCTATCAATGATAACATTTTGCAAAACTATAGTATAATACTGCAACCAGGACATTGACATTAACGCAACCCACCTATCTCAGATTTCCTACTTTACTTATACTCATTTGTGTATATTAAGATCTATAAACTTTTATCACCTCTTTAGTTAAGATACTGGCCAACATGGCAAGTACCCCTAGTAGTGCCCTTTTATGATCACACCCACCAGCCTCCTGTTCCTCCACCCTTCTTCTGTCCCTAATCCCTGGCAACCACCAGCCTCTTCTCCCTTTCTAAAATTTTGTCATTTTAATAATGTTATATAAATGGAATGATATGGCACACAATATTTGGAGATTGGTTTTTCTTGCTCAGCATAATTTCCCAGAGATTCATCCAAGTTGTTCATGGTTCATTCCTCTTCATTACTGAGTAGTATTCTATGGCATGTATAAACAGTTTGTAACCATTCACCTTTTAAAAATATCTGGGCTGATTCCAGTTTTTGGTTCTTATAAATAAAGCTGGTACAGGTTTTTGGGTGAACATAACTTTTCATTTCTTTGGATTAAATGCCTAGGAGTGCAATTGCTGGATTATATGGTGGTTGTATGTTTAGTTTTTAAAAGAAACTGCCAAGTTTTCTAGAGTGACTGTACAATTTTACATTCCCACCAGCAATGTATGAATGATCCCGTTTTTCTGCATTCTTAACAACATTTGGTATTGTCTCTGTTTTATTTTAGCCAATTCTGATAAATACGTCATGATATCTCATTGTGATTTTAATTTGTATTTCACTAATGTTTAATGATGGTGAACATTTTTTCATGTGTTATTTGCCATCTGTATATCCTCTTCAGTGAAATGGCTTCTTGTTGTTTGCCCATTTTCTTTTTTTTTATTTAAATTCAATTAATTAACATATAATGTATTATTTGTTTCAATGGTACAGGTCTGTGATTCATCAGTCTTATATAATATCCAGTGCTCATCACAACACATACCCTCCCCAATGTCCATCACCCACTTACCCCATCCTGCTACCCCCCTCCCCTCCAGCAACCCTCGGTTTGTTTCCTAAGATTAAGAGTCTCTTATGATTTGTCTTGTTTCATTTTTTCTTCTCTTCCCCTATGATCCTCTCCCTTGTTTCTTAAATTCCACATATCAGTGAGATCATATAATTGTCTTTCTCTGATTGACTTATTTTGCTTAGCATAATACCCTCTAGTTCCATCCACATCATTGCAAATGGCAAGATTTCATTTTTTGATGGTTGTGTGATATTCCATTGTATATATATATATACCACATTTTCTTTATCCATTCATCTGTCGATAGACATCTGACATTTGCCCTTTTTCTAACTGGATTGTTATTTTACTGTTGAGTTGTAAGAATTCTTTATATATTCTAGATCTTATTCCTTTATTGGATATTTGGTTTACAAATATTTTCTCCCAGTCTGTAGCTTGTCTTTTCATCTTCTTTACACAAATTTTCACAGAGCAAAACTTTAAAAATTTTTTGATGACGTCCAATTTATCAATTTTTTCCTTTATTGCTCTTGCTTTTGGTATCAAGTCAAAGAACTCTTTGCCTAGTTCTAAATACTGAAGATTTTTTCCTGTTTTTTTCTAAAAGGGCCCTGGGTTTTTAATCCCTGTCGTGTCAGTTTGCTTTATGAGGAATGAAAGGTAAGGCTGCCTGGCTTCCCACCTTCATGGAGCTTTCATTCTATTTGGAAACCAACACCAGCTGTCTAGGGCAGGAGGTCCTGATAAGGGAGCTTGTTTTGTTTGTTTTTTTTTTTAAAGATTTTATTTATTCATTTGAGACACAGAGATACAGAGAGAGAGAGAGAAAGCATGAGCAGGGAAAGAGGCAGAGGGAGAAGCAGGCTCCTCACTGAGCCAGGAGCCTGATGTGGGACTCGATCCCAGGACCCTGTGATCGTGACCTGAGCCGAAGGCAGATGCTTAACCATCTGAGCCACCCAGGTGCCCCTGATAAGGGAGCTTGTTAAAGACACATACCACAGAAGATTCTGGTTCAGGGATCTGGAATGGAGCTAGCTCCAGCCTTTTATCTAGGAACCTGCTGTCAGCCATTGCTCATACCCCAACCCAGTCAAGCTGAACTCATCAGATCAGACACTTCATTCAGGTCTGCAGCAGGAGAAGCTGAACGGCTGGGGACAGGGAACTCCAGGGCCAGAGACCAGGCACAAAGGCAAGGTGGATGGTCTTAGGACAGATTCCTATTGAGGTCTGGGGGCCTGGGGGTGGTCCTTCTCTGCCTGGGGATAGGGCATGGTTCTCTGGCTCCAACTGGGCCAAAGCAAATGCCCTGGGGGCTTTCTAAACCTTGTTCATTAATTAAACAGCAAACATGTATTTGCCCAAGCATCAGGTTCAGTGTTGAAGTTACAGATGGGAGCAAGACAGACAATAACATTTGCCCACAAGGAACTTATATTCTCATCAGAAACATTAGGCAACATCATACTACGTAGTCACCTAGTATGCCAGAAAGTGGAAAATGCAGAGTTGGGGTGACACACTGCTGGTGTTAGTGCTGGAAGAAGTCCTCCCAAGAGGGAAGTGAGAGGGAGTCCTATGGCCAGCTACAGGAAGAGTCCCAGACAGAAGGCACAGGTGGTACAAAGGCCCAAAGTGGAAATAGCTGGTGTGTTTCATGAGCAGTAAGGATGACAGTGCGGTTGCAGGTAATGGAGAGATCAATATTGTGTGGGTCTCATGGACCACTATGATGACTTTGTCTTTTACAAACATGAGGAACTGTTGTGGATTTTCAGCAAACAAGGGAGATGATCTGGTCTACATATCAGAAGAATTATTCTGCCTGCTAAGAGGACAATAAACTGGAGGGGAAAGCTTGGAAGCAGGGACACCAGGTAGGAAGCTCTTGCAACTATTCAAGCAAGAGAAGAAGGTGCCTCTTGGATCAGGGAAAGCAGTGGACATACTGAGGAATGGTTCAATCTTGGGTACATACTGAAGGAATAATCAACAGGACTTCCTGACCCTTTGGATATAGGGTGTGAAAGAAGAGCATCAAGGGGACTCCAAGGTGTTTGGCAGGATCTAGCTACCATGACCTGACCTGGGGAAGGCTGTGGAGGGGTGGGGTTGGGGAATGATCCAGAGCTCAGTCAAAACACTGTGTTTGGAGATGCCTGTAAAACATTTACAAGGGGATATGGAATAGCCTGTTGGCTATTGAGTCTGGAGTTCAGGAAAGAGCTCAAGCTAGAAAGAGAAATGGCAGTTTCCAGGTGGTACTTAGGGCCAAGAACTTGGGTTACTGATGAAAGATTAAGTGTGGACAGAGGGGACGAGAGAATTGAAGCCTGGTCCTGGGCAATCTAAGAGTTAAAGGGCCTGACATGAAACTTGAACCACTGCCCTTCTGGTGGCAAGATGCCTTAGAAGATGCCTCAGCCCCTTCCTCAATCAGCAGCCCTAGAGACTTTGGCTTTGGAGGCAAATACCGGCACGAGATGTCCTAGGAGTGAGGCATTGCTTTAATTTCTAACTGCCCTTTCAGGATTGTGGCAAGTTTAGCAGCTTAGGGGTAGTGGCTCCTGGCAGCTCCCTCCATTATGGGTCCTGAGGTAACATCTTAAGGGCAGGTGAGCATCATTTTTCCCCATTCACCTTCTTTCTCACTGTCTTTAAAGGAGCCAGCACAGCAACACTTGTTCTCCAAGCACGACAACCGTACTTCTTTCGACAAAGTGAGTACTGGACAAAGGAAGGAGAGCGGGCAGGGCCCCAGCCTAGGCTGAAGTTGAGGTAGGGTGGAGGGGATAAGACACTGAGGGGAGGGAGGGCTCCTGACAACCTCTCTTGTCTGGGGAACAGCCCATTCCCCAAACAAAGGTACCTCTGCTTTGGTTTCATCCACTAGTTTGCCTGACAATGCCCAAATATCCTAGGGGCCACTGACTTTCTGGAGGTTTCATCCTGGAATGGAAGGCATGCTGGGGAGGCAGGCCAAAGAGGCTGGGGTACAGGCCAGGGGAGCCAGGAATCACCAAGTAGGCCTGGGTTGAGGAGGGGCCGAGGGGTGCTTGGTGCCAGGACTGTGGGCCAAGGGCCCACAGCGTTGAGGAGGGCCCCTACTGCCTGCTGCAGGGAATCGGAAGGCGGAAAGACCTGGAGCGCCTACGGCAGCAGCACACCTTCCTGCGCTGGGCACCCCATGAGCTGGAGTTGGGCAAGCAGCGGCCCCTTGAATCCTCCTACCAGGCCAATTTCCGGTCAGGCCCCGGACTCAGTGACCTCCCCCAGCGCCTTATCCACTTTGTGCAGATCGAGCCTCCCCGTACCAGCACCACCTACCAGCAGAACTTCTGCCAGCCATCCCGGGGTGGCCACTGTGGCAGCAACAACATGGGACCAGTCACCAACACACTGCCTGACCTCCCAGGGATCCCAAGACCCAAGCTGCTGCAGCATTACCTTCATGACGGGGTCTCGGAGTGTCTAAATTGGTCCAGAGCATTAAACAAGGACAGCTGACACAGCGGCCTGTCTGTGTTTGCAGCCAAAGGGCTCTTAGAAGCTGGAGAGCAGTAAGGCCCGTGGCACCTGTGTGCTGGGCAGGGGAGATGCTGCCCTGGGAACCCTGCCTCTGAGCGAGAACCCTGCCTCTGAGCGAGAACCCTGCAGGAGGCTAAGGGTCCAGGAGGGTCACCATGGTTACAGCAGATCAGTTCTGGGACCCCAGATCCATTCTTGCAGTAAACCCAGCTGTGAGCCCCTTGCATTCATGTGGCTGCAGGGAAAGCGGGGTCCGTGGGCCCTCCTAGTGAGCAGCAAAGACTGGAGGAGGAGGCAAGGGCTGGCAGCTTTGATTTCTCTGGGAGGCTACTATGTCTCTAGGGGTCTGGTGGGAAGCCACATAGTTCTGCCTAAGCTGGGAAAGGGGGAGCCTGCCCTGGCCACAGCCCCCACTGGACCACCCCTCCCTATGGAGGTAAGCAGAGACTTTGAGGAGATCCTGCGCAACGTGGACCTGGAGGTCATCCTGACCCTGTGGTGCTTTGCTGTAGTTTTCTGAGCTCTTCTCTGGCCGTCTTGTGAGTGCCCTCTAACACCCAGGACAGTGGAGGGCAGCAGTCATCCTACGTCACCAAAAGAGAAACTAAGGCTTAGGTGGGGCTAAGACACCAGAACACTTTGGGGGCAGAAGCCGGATCCAAAAGGCTACTCTGGACCCTCCTCCCTGGGAGAATCAAGGCCCCTGAAGGAGGGCAAGGGGCTGCAGGGGCAACACAGGAGTCCACACCGAGGGCCATACACCGGATTTTAGCAGCACTTTTACTTTCACATCTGAACTTCCTGGGTCCTCACAACAGCCCTGTGAGGTAGGTAGGGCAGGAAGGTTTCAGAGATCCCCATTTACAGATGAGGATGCTGAGGCACAGAGAGGTGAAATGACTTGCTCAAGATCACACAGTCAACAGTGTAAAGGGCCCAAAGCCAATATTCCTCTGGTCCTCTGGAGGTTCCTACATCCACTCCTCCACTCCCTCTGTGTCCTCTGACCTGTCTGAACTCTCCTGGGGCCACAGAGGCCTTCAAGGTGGCTGACAGCTAGGATTTTTCAGGAACAGCTATTGGGGTGAGCCTGGTCAACTCCAGGTAGGCACTAATCCTGTGGGGCATGAGGCCAGCTCTCCCATCTTCCCACTTCCCAGTTGGACAGAGGGCCCAGTAGTTCCAGAGCAAGTGTGGAGCTAGGCATGGTCCATGAATGAATGGGGATAAAGGTGGGTATAAGCATATGTGTCCTGCACTAAAGACAAAGTCCCCTCACCCTTTGAGACATTTGTCTCAAGTCCCTGACCCTGTGCCTCCCTCATCCCACAGAGCCACAGTGAGCTTCTTTAGCAGCAAAAGGAGCCACAGACCTGTGCCTCTGGCATGCGCTGCCCCAGCTGACACATCCCATCAGGCATTCAGACCCCATCACGCAGACACAGCGCCTCCACAGCTTGGCTGGGACCCTGGGCCACACCCCCAATGACAAACAGCCGGGGCCCAGCCTGCAGACTAGAACAGGAGCAGCGGGCTGTGGGCATGGTGGGCAGGGCCTCCCAGCGCCGCCGTGCAAGGCTGAAGCCCTCCACAGAGCCCAGAGGGCAAGGCTGGTTGCCTGCAGGAAGGAGACGGAAGTTGTAAAGGGCACCGGCTGCAAGGGCCCCTGCTCTTTTGCTTGCTGAGCCCAGAGATGGTCCAGCAGGCATCACCCCAAGATGGGCTACCAGTGCCTTGCTACTCATAGCCCCCATTCATCATTCGTTCATTTCTTTAGATTTCTACTTGTCCATTCATTCAGTGGTCACTTGTCCTGTTTCTGTCTCCTAGGCCGCTACTGATACAGAGCCATCAATCAGGTGCTGAGGGACACCCCAAGAGTTAGGATATGCAGACTACACCCTGTCTGTTTCACAGACTGGGAAAGGGAAGCTCACAAAGCCCTGATCCCTGGAGTGTGTAAAGCAGGGCAGGAGGTAGTGCTCATGCTTGGGCTTCCTCCTTCCTGTCTTGGGCTCACCACCTATCTCTAGCCCCACAGATACTCACCAAGGCCCCCAATGGCCATGATGTGGCCCCCAAGGGAGCCAACCACAAAGTCGGCCCTCTTATCCCTCATGCGCAGGCTGCGGGGCAGCTTGGTCCAGGACCCTGCAGGAAAGGGGAGGTCAGATCCAGCCCCACAACATATACTGTGCCCCTCCATCCCATGGAAAGTGGGAGAACAGCCCAGGTAGCCACTGCTCACCGTGTTCCAGGTCGAACATCTCCACAGTGTTGACAAAGTGTGGGCGGGAGTAGAAATTGTGGGGCCCGGGCTGCTGCAGGCCACCCAGGCTAAAGACGTTGCTTTCCGCCATGGCACAGCCAGCAAAGGCCCGGCGGCTGGGCAGGCTTGGGTGCCGGGTCCAGGTACAGGCCTCCAGATCAAAGGCCTCAAAAGCAGTCACTGGGAGCTTTCCCTGGCGGCCCCCTGCCAATGGAATTGGGGTACCTGGGAAGGAGCCTGGGAGGCCTAGTAGGCTCCTCCTTCACCAGGTTGCTAAGCCTTCACCACTGCCCACCCTAGCCCCCCCCCATATCCAGCTGTGTGCACACCAGAGCATGGATCACCTACCCTGCAGATCCTCAGGCACTGGGAGGGCTACCAAAGGTCAGAACCTCCAAGCAAGCCTGGCTCACTCAAAGCTTCTCTTGTCCTGCCATCTCAGGCTAAACCTGATCCCAGCCAACCTATGGGGATAGGTGCTTCTGCACTTCGAGCCCCTTTCCCACATCCCCCAGGCCCTTACCCAGGACATAGATCTTGTTCCCATGCAGGAAGGTAGAAGCCCCGTAGCAGGGTGTGGGCATGGAGGGTAGCGAAAGCCAGCAGTCCCGCCGGGGCTCATATACCCGAACTTGGGCCTGGGGAGCCGTGTCTGGGCCCATTCCCCCCAGAGCATACACCATACCATCTGCGTAGAAAAGAGCAATTCAGAGTGCACCTCAGCCTGGCCAGGGCACCTTACCCTGACAGCTGCCCTGGTCAGGCCTGGGGGTGGCTGGGGACCCACATGTTTGTAGTACCCCTCCCAAGCAGCAGAGAAACCCTCCTTCCTTCCTTGAGTGGGGTCTGGGAGAGCTAGGATTCCTGCTCTGGCCAGGGCCCCTCCAAGTGAAGAGCAGGAGGCAGATGATCTAATTATAATCCATCTCTGTCTCCCTGGAGATGCTATGGCAACCAAGTCTGGCATCTAAGCAGGACCGGTGGTCAGACCTGGAGGCCACAAGGTGGGGGCTCCTCTAGGGGAAGGAGGGTGGAGGATGGTTTCAGCCAGGGAGGGGCATATGGGGATCTGCTAAGCATAGAACTCAGACTGGGGAGGGATCTCTGGGGATCAGCTGGGGTCTAGGAGAGGGACTTAGGCCTATAGGGTAGAGGTGCTGGCCACAAGCCTTCTGCCCAGAAGCCCTGCCAGCCCCTCTATATCCCACCCTTTCATTAGAGGAGGTTCTGGCCCTGTTACACCCTCCAGGTCAGCTGGGGGCATGTCTGGAGGCCTTAGGGAGACGGGTCAGTCAGCTGAGGGCTTCCATGGCAACTATCCCCAGGCCAGTTGGCCTTCCCATCTCCAGCTCCCTGGTAAATGGGTATATGGGAGGAAGGGGGGGGGGAGGGAATCTAAGCACTTACTGGGCTCTGAGCCAAGGCCCTGCTCCCCTCCCCCTCCCCTAGACTATTTATAACCCTGAGAGTCATTGGGCTACCCCTCCTAGTCTCTTAGAGAAGAGGAATGGGCAGGGAGGTGGTTGGGGCCTCCCATCACGCTGGGGGCCAGTCTGGGCTCTGCCTCCCACTTCACAGCGGGAAAGGGCAGTGAAGGCTGCTGCTAGCTCAGCTCAAACCTAGGTAGGAGAGGGTCTTTACAAGATTCAAGGCTGTGTCCAGGGCACTCAGACAAAATTTACAGCTCTTGTCCAATCTCTGAGGGTAAGAGACCAAGTCAGAAAAGAATAGAGGGCGTTGGGGCGCCTGAGGGACTCCCTTAAGGCCACTCACCTCTCTCCACAGTTGCAACCCCCATGGCTGCCTGAGGGAGGGCGGCCCGACGCTCCCAGCGGCCCTCATCAGCCAGGAAGGCCTCCACGGCAGCTACAGGGCTCTGGCCCTCATCCACACCGCCCACCACTAGCACCTGCTTGCCCAACACCACAGCAGCTGCACCCGCCCGGGCAGTGGGCAGGGGCGCCAGTGCAAGCCATGTATGCGAGGCCATGTCCAGTGTCTCGGCAGTGTCCAGGGGCAGTCCAGCCCGGCCACAGCCCCCCAACACTAGCAGGTGCCCATCCTGGTATGCCACTGTGCCATACACACGGCAGGTGGGCATGGGTGGGAACACCTGCCAAGCAAAGGCCCGGCCACCGCCTGTAGCCATGGTGTTCACCTCCTGTGACAGGCCATACTATCTGCTCAGGCTGCAGGTCTCACTGAGGGGCATGATGGGGCCTCATCTTGACTCAGGGCCACAGGGAGTGTCTGACCAGTTCAGGGACCTTGCCTTCACCTGGAGGAGAGAGGGAAAACAAAGGGTCAGGCCACTGACTTGGCCCTGAGGGTACAGTTGAGCAGTCTGTAGCTGAGGGCAGGACTGGCCCAAAATCACTGGTGGGAAAGGCACAAGGAGGACCTACCCCTACCGGCTAGCACACCACTGTAGAGGCGAGGCCCTCCTGGATGGGAAAGAGGGCAGATTCCCAGAAACTCAGGCAACTTCCCCCCTTCCTATGGGGCATGAGGGATTCTCTCCCCACCCCCTGCCCTCACCTAAGAACACCCAACATCCTCCCCTCCCCCTTCAAATCTAGGTCGAGGTGGGAGGTAAGTTGACTAGGATAGGACATTCCACCCTGGCCCCCTTCTCTTCCCCTTGACAAGCCTCATTCTGGGGCTCTGCATGAATAGAGTCCTACTGTACCCTCCCCTTACTGCCTTCCAGTGTGCCCTGGACAGCCAGGAATCCGACTCCAGGGTATACTTACAACCCTTTTGGGGGCCATTCCATAGAGATCATCCATTCCCACCAGCAAAAGGCCAAGATCAGGGCGTTTGGGACTGGGAGGGGAGGAGCTGGACGCCAGGGTCCCACATTCCCCCTTCAGGTCTACTCTTAGGGGTTTGCCCATGCCAGGTTCCTAGAGGCCAGTCTCCTCGGTGTCCAGAAGTAGGGAGGGGGATGATTTTGGGATCCCATGAGCATTAGGACTCTAGATTCCCACAGTCCAGGGCGTTTCCAGTAGGAATGAGCAGCTGTACCTCCGAGTCCCCTCAGAGCAGATCCCCAAGTTCCTCAGCCTCTCCTTTCCCGCGGGGGCCACGCTCCTGGGACCCTTGGCGTGATGGCCTCCTGGCCCCAAACTTCCAGCTCGCGGGAGGCGGGGGGCGGGTCCAGGCGAGCGCGCTTGGGGCTCTGCGCCCCGCGCCCCAAACTTCCCCTGAGCGCGGCTCCTGCGGGACTCACCGGCCGGGGCTCCGGCGCTGCCGGGGCGCGGGGTCCGCGGTTCCGGCTCCGTGCCGGCTCTGGCTGGGGCTGAGGCCAGGCTCCGACGGGGCTCCGGCGGGGCTCCGGCTTGGCTCGGCGAGGGGCGGGGCTGGACCGGGTCCGCCCCTCGTCCCCCCTCCCGACTAGGGAAACTCTCCCCCCCGCCTTAACCCTGCACCTGCCGTGGCCAGAGCAGGGCGCGTCGACCCATAGTCACAGGCAAATCGGTAAACAGACAGATGGACATGTGGACGCTGGGCCTGCCCAGGATTTAGGGTCCGACCTTGGGCTGGGGGAGAACTGAGGCAGCAGTGAGCAGCACAACACGTGTATGGTGGGGGACCGCTCTGAGCGGGACCCAGCCTGGGGGCACCCGCGGGGTTAGGGGGGCGGGGGGCGGGGGGCGGGCCAGCAGAACCAGCAGGCTTGAGAGGCCCGCGCCCGCCCACCGGCACTGAGCTCGGAGGAGCCCTAAGACAGGCTTCGCGGCGGCGCCCCCTGGAGGCCACTTGGGGCGTGGCATGGGCCTCTGGTACGGGTGGTGGCTGGGTAGCATTTCCCCAGGCACACAGCAAGGCGCAAAATAGGTCTTACGGTGGACATCGAGGCTAGCAGGGGATGGAGGTGCAGGCCTCAGTGCCTGACAGGCCCTTCCACAGGCCTGGGTGGGGGAAGTTCTTGCTGGGAGGGTAGCTCTGAGCAAGGGATGAGCTTCAAGTGTCAGAGGCCAGGGGACCTTCCAGGCAGGTCACTCTGTAGGGCCTGAGGCCTGGGCTACTATGGGACCCAAGACATTTTGTGACAGCTCATATCCAGGGTCCTGGGCCTGCCTGTAGCCAACTCTGGGATCAGGTGAGAGCAAGTTGGTGTGACAGAGGCCTATCTATTTCAGACCCAGGCCCTGGCCCAGCCTATCTTCTGGGCATTCAGAGTATTGGCTAAGTCTGTGAGCTGCGGGACCATTTGTGCAGGTTGGTGGTCACCTAGAAGAAATCCTTGCTACTATCTTGTCCCTCTTTCATGGACGGTGTGTGTCTCAACCCCCAAGAAGCACATCTGGAGACAAAGATATCAGTACATACGGTTAATGTGGGAGGTGAGGCCAGGAAGCACCAGCAGAGGAGTGGCAAAAAGAGAAAGCAGCCAATAAAGGCTGTGTCATCAAGCAAGTTACCACTGCGGGCAACTGGGACCAAATCTTGCTGGGGTCCCTCCCAGAGCAAAGGTTGCTTGAGGAATTCATTCTCAAATCTCCATCAGTTGTGGGTTAAGAGCTGCTTGAGGGCATTAACTCCTTGGCTTGCCTAAATTCTGAAGCCAACCCTGAGTGTGGGCAGAGCCTTTTCATGACCAGAGAGAGTCTCCAGCCCCTTTTACAGGCTGGCAATTGGAGTTGGAAGGTCTCTACGGAAATGGCAGTACCAAGGCCAGTTACAGAACCTAGCTAGAAGGCTTCCATCCTCTCCACTCTGCTCCTAACATGCTCTTCACTTAAGGGAACCTTCCTGCACAGGGTGTTCACATTGCTCTGCAAAACCCCTTACATTTCCCACTCTTCCCTTTCCAGCAGTTAAGCACTTAAAAGCCTCCTACCTTGAGATACCTCCCAGGACCCCCAATCCCTCCATTTCCCCTTCCTCTCCTCCAGTCACCTTGATATCTGCTACCTTATGTCCAGCAGTGAGCAGAACAAAATTGCTCCCCCAAAATTGCTCTTGCCAAAGTCACTATGGAACACCATATAGCTAATGCTATGGGTCCCTATGGTCTTTGTCAACTGAAATCTTGCTGACATCTTCAAAGTTTCATTTCTTGTGAACTTGGCACCTCTGCTCCAACTCATCCTGCTTCTCAGAGTCTTTTGAAGGCCCTGCTTCCTCTTCTCCCCAGGAAGTAGCTCCTCAAGATCCAGCCCTGGCTTTTCTCCTTGGCACACAGACTCCCTCCTGGGGTGAGCCCTCCCAGGCCCACTGGCATCACCCACAACTAGATGTCCACCAGATCTCTCTGGTCAGGTGGAAATGGGTCTAGGGCCCATTACTCAGGGCTGTAAAAGATGCCAAATGGAGAGCAAGGGCTGGATCCTGGGATGACCCCGTGGTCTCTACCAACCTCATCCTTTCCAATCCCAGTTACACCTACAGGGTCAGCATCCACCAAAACCGAGGTCAAGTCTCTCTTTGCTCTGATGAATGCTCCCAGAGTTCCATCTGGGACATACTGAGCACCAAGAGGCAGAAGGCTCAGCTTCCCCTCAGGATGCTAGGTACCCATGACCCTGACCCCTAACCCCTACTATCCCCCCAGTTCTAATGTCTGCAAGGGATACAGCCTGGGGATGGACCTTCCCTACCTAGTCCTCTATTTTGCACTGAACTCTGGGCTGGACATCACCAGAGAGGGATTCCCCTTTTCAGGACACACCTAAATCCATGCCATCCCTGGAGGCTGGACTCTGACTCTTCACGGGACTGGCTTCTGTTTACACAGTGCTGGCACCACCTAAACACAGGAGGCCAACACTGCTGGATTTGGAGAAGCTATGGAAGACAACTTGTGCAGAAGGTGAGGCGAGATTGGTCCTGAGAGTAGCAGCTAATCCTCAACCATGGATGGGACAGAGACAGGGCTCACCCATAGTTGGGGACTGGGCATACTAAGGTGGGACTTCCTGATTGCACCAGGATACCCTGGCCCTTGGGACTCCACACTTCCCTTCTTTCTAACAGGATGACGGGTTAGAAGCACTAACCCCAAAGGAACGGGAGAGTTTGCATTTTACTGTTGGACACCTTGGCTATGCTTGAAGGCATGAGGACCTCACTGTCAGTGCTGAGGCCCTGGGAAGCTCAAGAGTTACCAGATGAGGCCTAGGGTGGGTTGGGTGTTTCTCTTTAGGGGTGCCTAGACCCTTCTGTATCAGTAGGCAATGTAGAGCAAGTTTGAGGATCCTGGGGTCATACGGGGAGGGAGAAGAGCTATTAGCCAGTCCCTAAATGAAGCATCCACCCACCCTCTTGTGACTGCCCACAGGCTTTCACCTACCCCCAGCTACCAAATATGGCACCATTGTACATATCAGGGTCCAAGTGTTGTGGCAATATTTCTGCCTCCTAGTTCAGGCTCTGACTGAAGTGCAAAAACCAGAGCTTCCATGCTGGCTCCCAACCTGGACTTGGGGGGGGGGCCCTAAGAGGGGCCTTTGGTTAGAGTCTGACCTCTTAGACTCCAAGGGTTAATTTCAACCTGTGTCCTCTCATCTGGTGCTGCTTGGGCAGTGGGCTCTATAACCACCAGCCCTCTGCTGACCCCAGGGTCCAGGTAGCAAGACTGAGGTCCCAGTCTCCTAGGCAAAAGGACAAGGATTCTGCACAGGAGAGACTGGAGGCAGGACTTCCTGACATTGAGGGGGCTGAGGCTGGGCAAGGGTTCTCCCACCACACCCATGCACATGGTATGCTAGGCATAGTACACTGGTATGCTAGGACTCTCAGATAGGACATGCCCAGCTTTGGGGTTGTGTGCAGCATGATGTGTGCACATCAGCCTTTCATCCCACATGTGAGCCTCATTCTTGGGAAGAGAGGAGGGCCTGCTGCCCTTGAGGAGACACCCCTGCAACACTCTCAGGCAGGCAATGGGGCATTCCTCTTTCCTTCTGGTCAGGAGCTTGGGACAGAGGCAGGCCTTGTCCGTGGCTGTGGGAGGACCAGAGCTTGGAGGATGGCTTGGAACTTGCAGGGAATCCCTCCCAGATGTCGCTGCACCACCAGGTCCCTCAGAGGGGGTGTCAGTTAGGCCTTAATCCAGTCCTAGGAGAGCTCCTGTGCAGTCCTGTCTGGGACATGTCTGAGAGCACCACTGTTCCTCAGACTCCTGCACAGGTCCGGATGGATTTAGAGCGTTCCCTGCGGCCACCTCCTCCAGGAAGCCTTCCTTGGTACCCACCTGCCCTGCCCCCAGACTTTGGGGGAAACGGGGTCTCGGGGGGTCAAGGGTCACTAGGGCGGGCCAGGTCCCGGAAGCGGAAGTGCGGCGCGCTTCCGGTGCGCAGCGGGCGGCCATGTTGGAGCAGCGGAGGCGGCGCAGAGGCGCGTCCTGGGTCCCCGCGGCGGCGCCGGTAGGTTGGGGCCATGGGCCTAGCCGCGCCGCGGAGGGGCCGTCCGCGAGGCGACGGGGCGGATGGGCCGGGCGGCCGGCTCTTTCGAGACCCGCGCCCTCCACCGGCCTGGCCAAGACTTCCCCCCACCCCTCTACCCCTTGCCCAGCGACCCCACCCTGGGGCTGCGCGACCCGGTCGGGCTCGCCCCGCCCGCCCCTCGCGTTTCGCTGCCTCCAAGATCCCTGCTCCTATCCGCGGCTCAGGCCCCAGGGACGCGGACTCCCAGGCCAATGGCCCTGATCGGCCCCCAACCCGGTCCCCCTTGGATGAGGCCTCTCCCGTTCCCTGTCTTTCATCAACTTCCCTGTCGGCCCCGGGGGCACGTGTGAAGGGAAGTCGGGGGCCAGACTGCAGCCTCTGTTTCCGGAGCCTCTTGGAAAGCCCAGAAGACCCCTCCCAAGAGTCTAGACCGACCTGGGCGGAAGAGCCCCCAGTTCACCCCCAGTATCTGTGCCTGCGGGGAAACAGGCCCCTCCCTATTCAACAGTTCACAGTCCTGGGAACTACACCCCCTGGAAAAAAAAAATAAAAGAACTGAAGTCATGTGCAAGGATTGTGCTTGGAGAATGGCCTCTGGAGAGAGGAAGTGCCCGAGACACCTGAGGATCCAAGAATGTTTCCAAACAAAGAGCCCCAGGGCACTTCCTCCAGGGGATTCTGAAAACTTCCTCTGCTCCATTAGGGCAGTAGGAAGAAGCTGCACAGACGCGCCTCCTGGCCCCGGGGACCTGCCTGATCCCAGCTGATCTTTTAATGCTCGGGTACACCTGGGGAGCTCCCTCTGGGAGCCCTCAGTGTTGGGTTGGGCGTTAGACATTAGTCCTGACTGACAGCCTATGGCTTCTTCATGAAGAAGCCTGGTACAGGTTGGGTGTTCCCAGACAGCTCCATCTGGGCTGTACTGAGGTCTGCAGCCCTCCAGACTCTAGTTAGGACAGCTCAAATTTCTAGTGTCCACCTTATTAATCATCCTGTTGGAGCCTTTGGCTGTCAGACCTTGGGCTCTTGGTCTGGCTGCCTGGCCCCCAGGCTGCCTGATTGCCAAGACATGTGTCTTGAGTACCTGCTACTTACCTTCTTAGTTTCTGTTGAAGGAGAGTCTGACTCTTGCTTTGGGGTTAGTCTCCGTGGTTTCAGCACCAGGATCAGACCTCTCAGCCTGTCTGGGTACTCCAAAAGCAAAACTTCTGGTAGGCAGGGAGGTTCACCCCTGAGCACCTGAACAACAGCAGCTGGAGGAACAGAGAGAGATGGGCATGACTTCAAGGCTCATGTTGTCCTGCTCTTAGCTGTTTTTCCATCTAGACCTCCCAGCCCTGACCACAGACTCCAGTCACACACATTAAATGTGCCTTACTGTTTCTCATTTCCAAGCCATTGTATAGGCTGTTCCCTTTTTTGCTCCATTTCCATCTGGTCCTTCCTATTCATCAGTCATGTCCCATCTAGGTGTTGCCTCTCCTAGGAATCCTTCTCTGACTCAGTGGCAAGCTGAGCTGGGTGCCAGTGTGCACTCCCAAGAACTTTGATGGTCTCTGTCTTGCCTTCTATATAGGGCTCCTTGCAGACATACCTGCGTTCCCAGGGTTGAGTCTAATACCAGGTTTCTGGCCTCAGAAAATGGAGAATTGAATTAAAATGGGCCAACCAAGCCCAAATCTTTCCAGGGACCCAACAGCAGGTTGGATGGCTCTCATGAGCTTCTGGACATTTATCTTGAAGAAACTGCCTCTGACCCATGTGGGTGCCCCCTGCCACCCCAGTCCTCACCCTGACACCATGGTAGTTCAGGAGACCAGGGTTTTGCTCCAAGCAGTGGCTCACTCTGGCCAGGCCCTTTGTGTCGATGGTTGTTAATCATGGAGAGTGCAGGCCCTGATGGACTTACCTACCTGCCTTGCCCCTTATCTCAGTGCCATTTTTTTGTTTTTGTTTTTGTTTTTAACGTAATGATATATTTTCTTTTTAAAGATTTTTATTTATTCATTTGAGACACACAGAGAGAGAGAGAGCATGAGCAGGGAGAGAGGGAGAGGGAGAAGCAGGCTCCCCACTGAGCCAGAAGCCCGATGTGGGGCTCGATCCGAAGGCAGACGCTTAACCATCTGAGCCACCCAGGCGCCCCAATGATATATTTTCTTTAATGCAATATATCCGTAGTATTACCATTTTTTGTAAATAATCTCTACACCCAACATGGGGTTTGAACTCACGACCCCAAGATCAAGAGACGCATGCTCCACCAACTGAGCCAGCCAGGTGCCCCTCGGTGCCGTTCTTATTGATTCTTTTCCTCTTGTCTTGGAGGTGCCGAGCGCTGGTTTGTGGATACCCAGGCAGATCTGCAGTGCCTAATGCCATGAGCGTGGTGCAGCATGTGGAGGAGAAAGCTGTGCACTCCTGGTCGCGGATCTCCACGGCAGGGAAGAAGGCCCTGGAGGAGGCGCTGCTTGTCTTTAACCCCATGAGCCAGGATCTCAGTGCCACAGAGGCCCAGCTTGTAGCCTTCCTGCAGGGCCTGCGGGATGATGGCTTCCAACCCACCATCCTGCGCAGCGGTGATGTCTATGGCTATAGTTCATGCACAGCCAACCCCCCAAGCCAGACGAAGCTGCAAGCCCGTGCCCCCACCCCAGCTGCCACATCACCTCCAGCCAGTGCTCCCCGAACTGCCATGCGGCTGCCTGCAGGCCGGGCCACGCTGCTCCCTATGCCACTATCTGGAAGACTGGCCAAAGCATCCTCACCAGCCCTTGCCAAGCATGCTACCACCAACCTGCTGCTGAGCTCCCTGAAGCAGTCAAGTGCCAGCCGTGCCCGGGGTGCAGCAGTGGGATTCCCTGCCCACCTCTATCCAGGTGTCTACCCTGCCATGCGGCTCTCTGTTGTCCTTGAGGCCCTGGTTCCACTAAAGACTCCCATGCCCTGCTTGGGTGCCAAGCACAAGGCACAGTCACTGCAGCTCTCACTTGCAGACTCTCCCCTGAAGCTGCGCAAAGGTCCAGAGAAGAGGCAGGGGAACTGTCGGTCCAAAGGTCCCAGAAAAGCCACAGGCAAGGGCCCTAAGTGTCTGACTTACAGAGGCCCCAGGGCCAGACCTCAACAAGGCACTACACCCCGGAACAAGACCTACAAAGCCACTGGGTCCCTCAGTGGCCTACGAATGAAAGGTGGCTCTGCCCTGGGCACCAAAACATCCCAGGCCAAGGCAGCTCGAACACTGGCCAAAGCTGCCCAGGCCAAGGTGGCTCGAACACAGGCCAAAGCTGCCAAGGCTCGAGCAAAAGCCAAGGCAGCACAGATCAGGGCCAGGGCCAAGGCGGCACGGATCAGGGCCAAGGCCAAGGCAGCACAGATCAAGGCCAAAGCCAAGGCAGTGCGGGCCAAGGCCAAGGCAGTGCGGGCCAAGGCCAAGGTGGCTCGGACCCAGTCCAGGAGCAGGGGCAGGCCAAAGGGGTCTGTTCAGGCCAGGACTGCGAGGAGGGGCCCAAAAAGCCGCCCTGAGACTGTGGGGCAGAAGAGGAAAAGGGCTGAGGAGGCAAAGGATCTTCCTCCCCAGAAAAGAACACGACTTGGGCCCCGATCCCCTAAGGCGTGGCTAGGGCCTGGAACAGCAAAGCTGCTGAAATTCCGGGCCATCAAGGTGGACAGGCGGTCCTCGGACGATGAGGTGCGGCAGCGGGCTCAACGGATCCTCCGTGTGAACCTGTCCCCTGTAATACAGCTCCAGCCATTGCTGCCATACTCAGCACCCTGATTCCTTCGCATAGCAATGTTTGGGGAAACTGAGCCCAGTTGTCTGTGTGGCCAGTGGCACAGTGTGCAATGCCCATGGATTCTACAACCCCAAGGACTCCAGGTGCCTCTCCAGGGCCCTGAGAGCCACCATTCTCCTTTCAGAGACTGGAGGATATGGGGTGGTATGGGTGGGCGGGAGGGGTGTTCTCATGGGGCGATGCACTGTGATTTGTTACTCTTCAAGTTGTACCTCCACTGTTCCATCTATCACGTTTTATACCTTTCCACCTTCCGGTCTCCCTGCCCACCCTTCATGGTCTTTTTTGCGTTTGTAGCTGCTGGTGGGCCAGCTTGAGCATATAGGAAGAGTGGCCCCAGGAACAGGGCTGCCAAAGGGGGTCCTGGTAGCCTGAGACAGGTCATCAGTGTGAGTGGGAAGAGTAGCTCTCAGGCTTCTCTGGAGGTGCTGGCCTCCGTCAATGTGTGAGAAGCAGCCACTGAGGACGGGCAGAGCCACTCGGAGGTGGCACACCTCCCCATCGGGCTGCACTGGTTTGTTATCCAGGTAGGCCCTATGCAAGAGGACAGTAGGTGGCTCTGTGGGGAACCGTGCAGCCAGCAGGTTTCTAGGCCAGGGAAGGGGGGGTTTGGGTACTGCTCCCCAGGGACCATTCAGACAGCCTGGCCTTGTCTCCTAGCCTGCTCTGGCTGAAATCTTGGGGCTTTACCTGAGCTTGTCTGGGGCAGGGCCAGGCCTAAATTAGCTAAAGTACCTCTGCCTGTTCTTCCAGCCTCGACTTCCCCAGTTGGTGGCAAGGGTTTGGGGTTGAGTCAGAGGCCAGGGCTCTGGGTTGTTTGGCCACTGAGTCTGTCCTCACTGACTGCAGAATTTTCTCCTTTGATCAGTGGGGTACTGTGTTAGCTGAGCCAGGAGAGTTTCTACAACTGCTTCGCCCCATCAGCAGTGCTTTCTGCCTGAGTCCCAAGCACTCTGTTCCCAGGTCCAACCTTATCAAGCTTTCCAGCAGGGGCCTGTGTGTATTTCAGACACTAAAGGCTCTTCCTGCTTTGGAGAGGGGGCTGGGCCCCCGGAACAAAACTAGCTCCCCGCCCATCTGCCAGTCCTTCCCCGTCTGCCCGGCTTGAAAGGCAGTAGCTGGGGCTGGCAGGGAGGGGGACACATTCCCCAGAGGCTCCTAGAGACCAGCAGCCTTTCAGGGCTAGGGATGGGAGCCTCATTTGAATGAGAATCGGATCTCTCCTGTCTCTGTGGGTTAGTCTGAACCCTGGCCCCACTAGCGCCAGCTGCATTGGATGGCAGACCCGTAGAGAAGTTCTGCTTGTTTTTTTGGTACCCCCTCCCTACCTTTTTTTCTGCATCTGGTGGCTGCCATTAGTAGGGTATGGCCTCCCTTGATTCCCAGGCTCTGGGGACCCCCTTGCTCCCAGCCTCACCGTGGCTTCACAACCCTGCATGCTCCTTGTGTCTGGCAGTCCTGCTTTCATCTACCATGTGAGTAGGGGGTCACACCCAGTTCCTCAAGGGCAGCCTGCTTGGGGCCCACTCTTTATCCTCTCTCTCAGGCCTGATTCCAGCTCATGGCCCAGGACCCCCAGCCCGGCTAGGCCTCCTCCTTCGCAGTCTACAACTCCTTTCAGTTCTGCTGCTGCTGCCACCAATGGGTGAGAGGTTGGCTCAATCCAAAGGGGGAGAAGAACTCTCCAGGCCTCCCTGTGGGGCAGAGTGAGGTGGGGGGTATCCCTAGGATCTCTACTCAGACCTTGTCCTTCCCAGTCCAGGCTCCCAGAACAGTTGCTGAGGAGGTGCCAGACACACTTTCCCCACCTACTGACAACTTGATTGTTGGCCGTGGCCAGAACCTTCTGAGCCCTACTGCATTGTCAGTCACCTACAGGTGGGGAGGAGTGTGAGGGCTCTGGAGATGGTATCTCTGGGTTTTCCTGGGCAGGTTTGGCCTTGCGGGGGGGTTCAGGTCATTGTTGGGGGCTGGAGAGGGGAGGGCTGTGCTGTGAAATTTTGGAATTGGCCAACCACATACCTCTTGCCTTGTCATTCTCCTTGGGCATTCCCCCAGGAATCTGAGAATTGCTTCTTTTGTGACTCTCGGGACCAGGGAGGCCATGGCATTGAGAATGTGATCTGGAGTGGTGGTCGTGACAGCAATAAGTAAGACCTGATGGCAAGCAGAGAGTGGTGAGGGTACACGTGTGCCCATGTGTTCAGGTCTAGGGTCATGGCCTGGTCACTCTGACAAGCCCTTGTGGTTGCAGGTGTTGAGAATGTCACCATCCAGCTGGACCTAGAGAGTGCCTTCTACTTTACCCACCTCATCATGACTTTCAAGGTGACCCAATGCCCCAGCCTGAAGGCTTGCTCTGTGCCTCTGACCTGATGGCCACCAGTGATGCTTGCCCCTGGTGACCCAAGGATCCCCTCCTGTCCCCTGGCGTTCTGCCCAGCAGCTCTGCTCCTGGAGCGCTCAGTGGACCATGGCCACTCCTGGCGTGTGTACCAATACTGTGCCTACAACTGCTCAGGCCTTTTTCCTGGGATCCGTCTTGCTCCTGGCCACAGAGTCAGTGACCTTGTTTGTGACCAGCGTTACTCTGACATCAAGCCTTCCACTGAGGGCCAGGGCAGGCCCAGAGGAAGGGGGGTTGGGCCCTGGGGTGAAGCCAGAGGCTCAGGTTTGCTTTCTTCTCTCAGGTAATTTTCAAAGTTCTGGACCCAGCCATTCTGGTGGAGAACCCAAACAACCCCAAGATTCAGGGTAATTGTCCCCCCAGCCAATCCTGTACTCCTTGCATGTTAGGACAGCCAGATACTGGGGGGAGGTGAGGTCCTGCCTGGGTGTGTACACAAGTGGGGCAGGGGTGGCAGGCAAGCCAGCATCATTCCCCAGCTCTGCACCATCATGGTCCTCTATTGTGCGCCCTGTTATGGCCCTCCATTCCTTTTTTTTTTTTTTAAGATTTTATTTATTTATTTGAGACAGAGAGAATGAGAGAGAGCATGAGAGGGAGGAGGGT